ATGAGCACCACCCGGGTGCAAATAGCATCTGCCTTAAATAAAATACTTCTAAGGGATTTGAACTGTTATGCATATACAGGACTGTCTCAGAAAATTAGAATATTGTGATAAAGTTCTTTATTTTCTGTAATGCAATTAAAAAAACAAAAATGTCATACATTCTGGATTCATTACAAATCAACTGAAAATATTGCAAGNTGGAATTCTACCGAGGCCGGCCGTCCTTCGTTGCGGGAAATTTCGAGGCTAGGAAGGATTCTTGCCTCGCTTCTGAAGGATCTGACTCGGAGGAACTTGTCCTACCAAGGAAGCGTCCTCGACATTGAGAAACACCCCAGACTCTGCACCCACCTCTCTCAGGCCGACAATTGGAGGAAGAGAGTAAATGCAAACATGTCCGTTCTATGCAAATAATGATAATAACATAGATATTAAACTCAGGCTAAGTTAGAGTTTTGTCTGCTACACCCTCACTCTGCACCCACCTCTCTCAGCTCGGGATCCACGGCAGCCGGCAGCTCGTCGGGGGTCTTGTTGACGAGGAGCTCGGGGGCCAGAAACATGGCAGAGCCTCCAGTAGAGGGGGAGGAGGGGGAGAAGGTCACGGAGGCTGAGTTTCTCTGGGTGGACGGGCTGCTGGGGGTGGAGGGTCTGGGGGACAGATCCCCTCCGTGGATCCTGTAGGCCGGAGGGGAGCTGGCGGGGCCTCCAGGAGCCCCGTATCCCCCCCCACCAGCACTCTTATTGAGATTAGTGTTGTTCAGATCCTGCAGATAGGTGAGGGAAATCATCATTCTGGTGGTTTTTACATCTGGGATGAATGAGTATTTTTCAACACATTAGTCATATTTACAATTGGGATATTAGTTCATAATTAAAAAGGGATTGAGATTAGTGTAATGCCAGATCTTTTTTTTTACATGACATCTGGGAGGAAATATCAACATTGTTAGCATTCACAGATTAGTATCATATGTACCATTGGGGTGCCTGGTTAATAATTAAAAGGGATTAGTGTTAATCAATCACTTACAACAGTGATCTGTGACAGAGATGCTGGATCACTCAGCTTTTTTTTCATCTCCTCATAGGAGTTGCCTCCCTGTTGAGAAGATCGATTGAGAATATGGGTGAGCATGCAGTTCAACAATCCATGAGATCATCACATGTGCTTTCTTATTTCTGAAATGATTCATCAGCTGTCTCTCACACACACACACACACACACACACACACACACACACACACACACACACACACACACACACACACACACACACACACACACACACACACACCTTTTTCTTACTGAGAGTCTATAGGGGTGTCCATTTTGAATTGGCCCTCTAATTCAAAAAGTATAATGAAATATGGCCCACAAATGAAACTTTTGCTTGTCTTGTACTTCTTAAATATATCTGTACACATATTACACAGTATAGTGTTCATGTGTTAATAAGCACACTTTCAGTCAATTCAAATATGATCTAACAAATCTAAGTTGATAAGAATAAAGCCCAATAACTTATTTACATAACAACCCTTCCTATTTCCTCTTATGATAAGCAATGTGAGCCTCCTGTTGTAAGGAATGAGCTGCTAACCAATTAATTAAACCCTATGGAAAGCTGTCATGTAGGCTGCAGCATTATTTACTTACATTTGATTGATTTTGCTAACTTATAACTGAACTTATGAGGCATTGAAACCTCTCCTCTAGTGAGTGGCCCAGCCCTTCGTATGTTTTTCTGTATGTGGCCCTCAGAGAAAAGAGTTTGGACACCCCGGCTCTTTACAAACTCACGCTCCACTTGTGAGGGTCCCAGGCGTTGAACCAGCCGGTGAAGGTTGGCGGTTCGAATCCCTGTTTGACGAAGAGCACGGGTGTGTCGGGGTCTCGGCCCGCAGGGTGGGTCCTCAGGTAATCCTGCGCGCTGTTCCACGCCTCCTTCGTCTCGTACTGGTTCGCTGATGTCCCGACCCACAGGAAAATCTGAGGGGAAGTGGAGAAAGATGGAAATGTTGTACTTTTTTAAGATGTAAATATGGCAAGGCAAGCTTCAACACAAGTGCTTTACACAAATGGTAAACATTAAGAGCATTCATTAATAGTGCAGCGGAAACACATTATAAAATAACATTGGTACTAAAATGGTATTACTGTGTTTAACAGGTGACGTTTGTGGCTATATTTGAAGCTTATAAAGCATCATGCATTGTTTGCTGAATATTATTCTAAGTTATTTCTTTTTTTCTGAAAAATGGAGTCCTGAAGCATTTAATGTTGTTTATTTTGTTTAAAATTGAATAAAATCTCCTAGCGTAGTAGGAATATTTCAACTTGTTTTTATTATTTGTCAGGGTTACCAAGGTAGCCTACCAGTTATTAGGAGTCTAGGGATTAAACGGCGTATCTGACAGAGAGACGTATTATTATTTATAGATAAGACTGAATGTATTGATCCCAATTTGGGACATGTTTTCGTCACAGCTGCATGTAAACAAGGCATTGCACAGTTTAGAGTAGAAAATAAAAACACATTTACAGTCTGCCTGAAATCTGTCTTTAAAGTCTCTAAACTTAATTTCTCTGCAGCTGATTATTCAAATTGAAATGTCTTGTTTTTAATTAGTGTCTCCTGGCGAGAGCAAGTGCCAGAGTCGGTCCGGTGGATAAGGAGTCAGACCGGGGACCAGGAGCCGAGGCTCTGAACCGACAGCAGCAGGTAGGACTGCGTCACACAACCGGGTTTAATGTGTCTGTGTATCACTAACAAAACACAAAGGGTCAATTCAAAAACTCCAAACTTAATAGGGTCTATAAAAGATCACCTTTGCGCCGATCAAAAACTTCAGAAATTGCGTCAAAAACGTCCGCTCGCGTCGCGTGGATTTTCAATTTGCGCATTTCCGAATGTCCATTCAGCAGAGATCACGTGAGTAGCCCGAAGAGTCAAGCTAGCAACTCAGTTAGCTTGACGGGTAATTTCCAAGTCCTTTTTACATGCAGCGTATTAAAGACATTACAGGTAACACGCCTTACTTTTACCTTTAGCTGCAGACGTTGTTGCTATTACATGTGCGCGTGCGTGGCGCTACCTTGCGTGCCCTGCGTGCGTCTGGAGGGTCTGGAGCAGTGCAGTGGACTGGCTTTTTGTCAACTCTATTTTCGACATACAATAACCAAGGGATACACAATCTGACAAAGGTTGTGCAAAATGCCACAGACCTCATAGTATAGTAATATATGTATATTTAAAAAAAGGCTGCTTTATTTATATTTATATAATTATTTTATAATTAAGATACACATTTGTGGCTAATTAATAGATAAATAAATGGGTTAGCGTTTATATCCACACAGCTGAAGTTGCTTTAAATTTAAAAAACAAATAAAACCACAGCTTTTTGTTTTTGTTATTTGTTTTGGTGCTTACCTTTCCTCAAAAGTGTGCATTTATATAATTGATATGTATTATCTAAATAATATGAGTTTTCAAGGAGAAATAATCCCATAAAATGTACTAAATAACATTTGATGACCTTAAACTTTCACCTTCAATTATTATACTGTATATGAGGTAAAAACTTCTTAAAATGTACAAAATAACTTTATTTTTATCACTTGACTTATTTCCCACATATACCCTTTTATTAAACTCTGTAGGTCTTCATAAAACTTGATGTCTCCCCCCTCACCTCCTCCCAGGTGTCCAGCAGCATCACGTCCTCCTCGTCCAGGTCGCTCTGGGCAAAGTCCTCCACCTCCGTCATCCGGAACTTTCCAATTTGATTGGAGCATTCAAACAGCCGGGGACTGTGGGGGGGCTCCTCCTTCTGCAGCCTGAAACACACAGCTCACTGTAATCTGTGTGTGTGTGTGTGTGTGTGTGTGTGTGTGTGTGTGTGTGTGTGTGTGTGTGTAAACTACATTTCACATGGCATTGGGCATATTCCACTGACCTTGATATAAAAATAATCCATGCAGATTTAAATGTAAGATTATTAATGTTCCAGATTTAGAGCTTTTTTGGACGAGTCTTTGTTAACAGGCTGTTGTTATTGTTATTTTTTATGCTTTACATAATATAATACATAATTAAAGAACAAGAAAAAGCTTGTTTGAAGACTCAGAGTTATTAATATCTGTCTGCTGCAGGATATTTAAGCAAACAAACCCCAACTAGAGTCCAATTTAATAGCAAAATAAACCATCTCTGGAATATGTATTGTTGAAACTAACATATTTGATAGATTGGAGTGTTCCTTCTTTCTGTGCTCACCTCTTGTCGCTGGCATAGGGAGCCTTTCCTCCCAGATTTACCCAGAATTCTGCTGGCTCCTGGCCCTCCATCACCACCTGCTTGTCCTGTTTGGACAGCACATCAGACATGGCCCTCCCCATCACCCTCTCATCCCCGCTGCAGCCCTGCACACACACACAAGCCGACAACACACACACATTATGTTAGAGCAATATCACTCGTCCCCGGCTTGAGCTTGAATCTCAGGATCCATGTATCTGTGATCCTCTCCAGAATGGAAGTAGTCATCACATACAGAGCATCAACTAGTTCCTGAACAGTGTCCTTCACATGCTGATATCCAAGAGAGGGAGTTCCACAGTCACAAGATGGAGGAATAGAAAGCAGTATTCAATGTTTACTTCAGATTAGCTCCACGTCAGAAATGATCATGCTTGTCATATGTCTCTCTCCATAGAGGCTGAATCATCATGTTAATCACATAGCTATCATATGCCTCAAACAGTCCTGATGCTCTTCTAGGTAATCACACATCCTGTCATGTTCACAGCTACAGTTGGGATACCTTTGATATCATGGTACTCTCATGTTGGAAGAGGACATTCAGTATTTTCCCGTGTGGTTTATCCAGCTTGTGACTGTGACGTACCTTTCCGTACCACAGGAAGCATATGTGGCCGGTCTTCAGCAGGAAGACGTCGTTGGTGTTGAGAGACGAGGCCCTCGAAGGCACCTCCGTGGCCTTAGTGTTCATCTCGTTGGTCCCTCTGACCTGGAAGAGCCTGGCCCCGCCCTCAGGGTTAGCTACGCCAGGTCGGCCTGTACCACCCTACACACACACACACACACACACACACACACACACACACACACACACACACACACACACAGAACTGTATAAAAAACGATATGTACAAAGTCCCTCATTTACTGTTCCCTAAAACCTTCACTGAGCCAGAATTTTGTCTATTCAATCAGGAATAAATACAAATAAAAGAATCCTGGCACTGCTCACTTCATATACTAAAGTAGAAATATTACTAAAAACACTCCGTTACAAGTCCTGCATCTTAGTAAAAGTACAAAAGTACGAAAATACCCCATTTCAGAATCATATCTATGAAATGACTGGATTAGGATTATTGATCCTTTAACGTGTTCATCAAGGCGGAGCTAACTTAAATGACTTTATACACTGCTGCTGGATATCTTAGCCTATAATCATAAATCAATGTTTATTTATATGTTGTATTAGCATATATTCTGAGTATGTAAAGTAACTCATTTAATCAAATACGGGAGGTGGAGTAGAAGTATGTAAAGTAGCATTAAATTCCTCCAGCCCTCTACTTAAAGGGGCCCGATTCTGCTCATTCTTGTGCCTGTTCTGTGACACGTTTCCATGCTTTAATGTTCAAAAACCTCTTTATTTTTTTACAGGAAACAGAAACCCCCAAAAGCACAATAGGGACGCTTTAAACCGCACACTTTTTTTGCTCTGGAACATTTGTTATCTGTCAAAAAATGAATGCAAATCTGTACCTCAAAGATGACGAGTTTGCCTTTGAAAATAGCGAGGAAGTGGCGAGGCTCCTTTCCCATGACCACCCTGACCTGCACCGGCGCTCCATTGTACTTGTTATCAACGTCCACAGCCTGGTAGGCGCTGGCTGTGATCTCGTCTTTAGTGGCGTGACGGCCCTGGTAGGAAACATAACAAATTGTGTTTTCAGAGGCAGAAAAGAGAGATTAAAAGTCCCCTATTGAGCTGTTTTTCATCAATATATTACAGGTCTCGTTAGGGAATCATTTGCTTAGGTATTCAACCTTTGACACAGTTCATAATGTTCTCCTCTCACTGTCTCCTTTCCCATGGCATAGGTCTACGGCCTTGGGTGTTGCTGCTATCTCTCTTAAGGAGGGGCAGCTTGGGCGCATTGTTGTTGCCAGTCTATGACAGAGCACTAACCGCCATGAGGTAGTTCACTGATCAGGGACGAAGGTTCCCTGGCACTCATTCTTTCCTATGGACGAGAGTCTTAGATTCAGGGTCCATAAAGTTTAGTCTCACTGATGAAGAATGTTGATTAATACACTCCGGACTAGTTAAAACCTCGAGCTGCAGAAGAGTTCTTCAGAATTGGTTTGGCAACCTCTGTGTCGGCTCGTGGCGCACCACCTGTCTTGTGAATTCTCTGGCCGTAGCTCCAAATAAACCGTCAGTGTTTGCCATCAAAGCTCCAGCTCTCCTCGTGTCTCTCTGAGTCCTGTTTCCAATTGCTTCAGAAGTTTCCCNCACTGAATTTAAAAAAAGTGAGTGAGGGACTGCAATATAAGAGGGAAAGTAAGATAAACTTTAAAACTGTTCAATTGTTATGATGTGTAAAGACTGATATTGTTCTATAATCGTCTGAAACTGTTAAGTCATGATGTGAAACAGTTAACAAAGAAAAAGGGAAACTCAAGCTGCTGCTACACTTTATTTTATTTATCTAGAATTAAGCACTTTTAAGATGCACATATTTTCAAGGAACATTACACATATCCACAGTATTTACTGTATATCTGTATAGTTCAATATTAATTGACAATAAATATTGTTGTTTATGAATTATACCTTCTTTATTTGATTGGCAGTCAGTTGTTGATTACATGCAGACGTTGATAAAGCTGAAGGCTACTTCAATATATATCACACCAATTCATAAAGCAAGTTAGACATTTTGATGTTCCGGACCTTTGCATAGGGAGATTCTCTCTAACTGGACCTCGTTGAATTTTAGTTGAATACCCCTGCCCTAGAGCGTTCTGCCCGCAGATCTACCCACCTTGGGACCCGTTATCGTTTGAGGGCTCCGTTTCCGCGTTTCCGTTATAGCCTCGTGTGAACAAACCGTCTATACGTTAGAGAACTGTAGCGGATGACACCCGTTCCGTCTCCGTGTAAACGGGCCCTTACATTTAGACCTGCTTTTTACTGTTCAGCATCAGACGTGTGAGCTTTTAAAACGGCAACATTTGCAATGACTTTAAATGTACATAGCTTTGATGGCTTAACCAAATGAAATTGTTTCCCTCTGCCCGTAGAATCCAGATGGCTCTCTGTCTCAAGCGGCCATGATGCAGAGTGCTCTGGCTAAGGAGAGGCGGGAGCTGAAGCAGGCGGCGCGGGAGGCAGAGATGGACTCCATCCCCATGGGGCTGAATAAACATTGGGTGGACCCGCTGCCAGACGGTAAGTAATCCATTAGATGTGCACATTAAGTTATTTCTACCTCACAGATGTTGAGGCCGAAGTGTGATTCATCAAACAGTGTATGCAATAAAAATCCTGCTTGAGATTAGCATATTGATCATTTTAACCTTTGTCTTTAGATCTATTTACGTTTTTATTTATATCCAAACAATATCTAAGTGTGTTAAAAGCAAAGATAAAAGAAATGTCTTCAGTTTTATCTTTGCCCCTCTTTATGAAATGTGTCTGTCAGAAATGAGACGTTGCCTCATGGCAGGCAGCAGCCCTCAGGCCTGCCAGGGCTGGAGATGCTATCTGGCTTCCTGCAGACCCATATCTGGCCGGATGGAATGTTCTTCCCATGCTTCGTGGTCCTTGTATCCCCCCCATGGCCCCAGGTGGTCCACACTGTTTCCAATAGTGGGCCTTTTCCTGCCATAACCATGCAAATCTGGCAGTGACGTAGCTACAGAGTTAAAGTTCTTCTTGCATGCCTCCTGTGAACAAAGAATCAAAAAACTAAATCTGAGTTAAGTAAATGGTCGCCAGGCGAAAAAGTCATTCAAAAACATCAGTGTATAAATTGGAGCAGATCTAGCTTAATCTGGGAGGACATGCTGCCATTGTAACACTTATTTTCTGTGCAATACACACCCTTGATATGACCGCTTATCCTTTTCACTTACAACAAGCCAACAAGTTTTCATCATTATCAATCACAATTATGTTCCTCTTTCCCAGTTGACGGCAGGCAGATTGCAGCTAACATGAGAGGTATTGGCATGATGCCTAACGACATCCCAGAGTGGAAGAAGCATGCCTTTGGAGGCAACAAGGCCTCCTATGGTAAGAAGACCGCGATGTCCATCCTGGAGCAGAGGGAGAGTCTGCCCATCTACAAGCTGAAGGAGCAGCTCATTCAGGTGGGTCCTAGTCTTCAAATATAAACCTAAAAGGAGACTTTTCCAAAATATAATAGAAAGATTACCATGGAAGTTCATAATTCAGACTGATTTAGGTTCTGTTGAAAATGTGGATGTCATTTATCAAGCCGATGTTGATGCTCAAGTACGTTCGTACTTTGACAAGTGTTGAATGGAAACATCTGCTAAATGCAAATGAGGAGATATCTTTAATTTAGTTTGCTTTGCTGCTTTCTGCTGCTGAACTGTGAACAATCCCTACAGAAATGTGTTCTTTTCTCAATATCAAATGTCGGGGGAAAGGGAGTACAGCAATTAAAGAGCTAGCTTTCAAAATGTACTGCTTTTTAAAAAAATCTGCCACAGGCTGTTCATGACAACCAGATCCTGATTGTGATTGGAGAGACAGGGTCCGGTAAGACCACGCAGATCACTCAGTACCTGGCGGAGGCCGGCTACACCACCAGGGGGAAGATCGGCTGCACACAGCCCCGTCGTGTGGCCGCCATGTCCGTGGCCAAGAGGGTCTCTGAGGAGTACGGCTGCTGTCTAGGACAAGAGGTCAGTGATCCTACATGTTTTGTGTTATCATTTGGTAATTATGCTGATAGTATTTTTTATTTTCTTGGCTGAACCGAATAGTTTGAGGCTTCGTTGATTTAAAAAATGGTGCTTAACTCATTTTTTTAATGTAGTGTTTGGCAAATAAATATTTATATTAATGTAGCAACAATCTTACCAGCACCTTCAATAAAGGCTCTAGCACTATTACAGTTAATTACTTTGAGTCCTTAAAGTATCTACACACTATCAAGCCTCTTTCATATTCATTTATTCAAATTTAAAAAAAGTTTTAGGTGAATTTCGATGACAGACATTCAATCTCAAATGAAGCTTTGAATATAATAAAAGCAGCATGGACCTATATTTTATATTTGTTAAATGAATCTAAACGAGGCTAATATAATTCTTCTTTTGCTCCAGGTAGGTTACACCATCCGTTTCGAGGACTGCACCAGCCCTGAGACGGTCATCAAGTACATGACGGACGGCATGCTGCTGAGAGAGTGTCTCATCGACTCTGAGCTGGGCCAGTACGCCATCATCATGTTGGACGAAGCTCACGAGAGGACAATCCACACTGATGTGCTTTTTGGTTTGCTCAAGAAGGTAAGCCACATGAGAATAGAGACCTTTGGGGTAGACATAAGTAAAGAAGATGCTGAGTGTTTCTTGTCCTTCTCAGACTGTAATGAAACGCACAGACATGAAGCTGATCGTAACATCAGCCACACTGGATGCCGTGAAGTTCTCTCAGTATTTCTATGAAGCGCCCATCTTCACCATCCCAGGAAGAACTTACCCAGTGGAGGTTCTCTACACCAAAGAGCCTGAGACGGACTACCTGGATGCCAGTCTCATCACTGTCATGCAGATCCATCTGACTGAACCTCCAGGTATGATTTTAAAAATCTTTAAAACGTACATGTTCTTTAAACCAGGTACACCTAGTCCATGTCATAATCCAACGTTCTCCCTGTTCTTTATCCAGGGGACGTCCTGGTGTTTCTGACGGGACAGGAAGAAATCGACACTGCTTGTGAGATCCTGTACGAGAGAATGAAGTCCCTGGGTCCCGATGTTCCTGAACTGATCATTCTGCCAGTTTATTCTGCGCTGCCCAGTGAGATGCAGACCAGGATCTTTGACCCCGCACCCCCCGGCAGCAGAAAGGTGTCTTTTATTCAACAGTAACATTTAAAAACGCATTGGATTTGCCTATCTACTATCTTGTGTGCTGCTTTCTGTGTTTTCCCAGAATGTGGAATAACCCTTTTTTCTCCCCTTAGGTGGTCATTGCCACAAACATTGCAGAGACATCTCTGACCATCGATGGAATCTACTACGTGGTGGATCCTGGCTTTGTGAAACAGAAAGTGTACAACTCAAAGACCGGCATCGACCAGCTGGTGGTGACACCCATCTCACAGGTGACAATATATCTATGATGTACTTGATATTGCTGGGGAGGAAAGCTAAATGTAATTGAAGCAATTGGCGATCTTACTGAATTGTTTTTTTAAAAAAAATGTATTTTCCAGGCGCAGGCCAAGCAGAGGGCGGGTCGAGCCGGCAGGACGGGCCCCGGGAAGACCTACAGGCTCTACACTGAGAGGGCCTACAGGGACGAGATGCTGACCACCAACGTGCCAGAGATCCAGAGAACCAACTTGGCCAGTACTGTGCTCTCTCTGAAGGTAAGCAGTCATTCTGCAGCCAACATGTTATTCTTACTTTGAACCCTAAACAAAATGTAATCTTTGTGTAGTCTTGGAGATGTAAAATACTACATTTCCTTCCACTGGTTAGAAGCTGGTCATTCTTTTAATTTACTTTTTCTAAATGTATTTCATTTATTGTGTCATTGATCATATTACACATTTCATTTATTATGTACTTGTAAGTGTTTATGGAATCGATTTTAATAAACAGTGAAGCAACACTTTAGTAGGTATGTAGCAGGGCATATTGTGTAAAGCCAGAAGTGAACTTCAAAAAATAAAGTCACTCCCACTTTTTGGGTTCCTAAATTAAATGTTCCACATACTCAACATTTATCGAAGTAATCATGGTTTTAAGTGTTCATCAAAGAAAATATGCATATCTCTTTTTTTATACAAGTGTTGCGAAGCAACAGCCTTCAAGAACCACATTTCAACTTTCTCAGCCCTTTAAGGTTTGAATTAAAATTGAAATGATACATTTGTGTTTTCCCTCTTCTTATATTTATATTTCCTCTCCAGGCCATGGGCATCAACGACCTCCTGTCCTTTGACTTCATGGACGCTCCTCCCATGGAGACTCTGATCACAGCCATGGAGCAGCTGTACACTCTGGGAGCGCTGGATGATGAAGGCTTACTCACACGCCTGGGGAGACGGGTGAGGGATGCTTTTACTTGGTGGTTTCATCAGCTGCCATGATGAAAAGAATAAATCTGCATCGAATCACATTTGTGCACTTTGCAGTTTGATTAAACACATAACGCATCAGTGTGCGGTCTATTTTGCCCTTCTTTTAATTTTTAGTATTGCTTCAATTATTCTGACTTTTCTTTCTCTGCACCTTTCTTCTAGATGGCGGAGTTTCCTCTGGAGCCCATGCTGTGTAAGATGCTGATCATGTCCGTCCATCTGGGCTGCAGTGAAGAGATGCTCACCATCGTCTCCATGCTGTCTGTGCAGAACATCTTCTACAGACCTAAGGTATGGGGCTAACACACAACAGGGATACAAGCCAGATAACGCTTACCAATAACTACTTTTGCCTCACATTTCAAGGTTAAAACATGCTTTCATCAATCACTGTTTCTTCAAAATAGATATACAAACTAAATTAAATATCTTTACATTTTCAGGACAAACAGGCCCAGGCTGACCAGAAAAAGACAAAGTTCTTCCAGCTGGAGGGAGACCACCTGACCCTGCTGGCTGTCTACAACTCCTGGAAGAACAACAAGTTCTCCAACCCCTGGTGTTTCGAGAACTTCGTCCAGGCTCGCTCCTTAAAGAGAGCCCAGGACATCCGCAAGCAGATGCTGAGCATCATGGACCGGTACGTATGCACCTCAGCTAAGGGTGCAACTAGCAATTCATGTTACAATCAATGAAATGCTGGAAATAGCATTGGCATCAACCTCTTGTTTGGCCCATATTTTTCTTTTCTTTTTTAGATCCTAAATAAAACTGAGAAATACAGGAATCTTCCTATTATAGAGGTTTAAAACAGCTTTCTGAATTTTTTTTATGAAGAATAACTTTAACCAATTATCAATGGCGTTGCCACTTATTTTTGATCAATGAGTCAACTTATTTTCAGTTCTAGTTTCGATCATTTGTTAAATGTATCTGTGTATTTCAAGGATGTTTTAAATGAGATGTTGGGTAACACTGACTTTAGATGTAATCATAGTAGTTATTAGGCAGCAATTTATCTAAAATGATGTCAAAGTTACACATGTTTAACCTCAATCAACATAATCCTTCCATAATGTTTTGTGAATACAGAATACACATTTTGAGTGTTGTATTCAAATATGAACACTAAATATTCCTCAGACACAAGCTGGACGTGGTATCTTGTGGAAAAGCTACAGTGCGGGTCCAGAAAGCCATCTGCAGCGGTTACTTCAGGAACAGTGCCAGAAAGCACCCCCATGATGGCTACCGTACCCTGATCGACCAGCAGGTGGTGTACCTCCACCCCTCCAGCACCCTCTTCAACCGCCAGCCTGAGTGGTGAGTCCTGCAGGGCTGATCCCAGAAATCTGAAATACATCACAAACATCATCTGGTCCTTGCTTAGACCTTGGATTACTCGTTATTATTTGTTCTTAAATTAATCCGTTAGTTTCTATTCATTTATCAAGTAGAATTTCTGGATTTTCCTTAACTGTGATTGGCATGTTGCTATTTTTTCTGGGAGGTTTGTCTATGTTTGAATCATTGTATCTAGTAAAATAATTTGTCATCACGACAAATGATTAGTATTGAAGGTTTTCAGAGCCAAAGGTGACGTCTTTAAATGAGTTACCTATCCAAAAAACCCATTGATGTTCAGTATTATGATGAACAAACATACACTTCAAAGTAGAGAAGAACTGGAAGCAGCGTATTTTAGTTGATTTGCCAAAGAAGAGTCACATTTGTGCAGAATCTTTGAAAGACTGTTCTTTTGGTGATTTTAAAATGAATTATAAGCTGCAGCCCTAGTAAATGCTAACTGTATTTTCCTAATCATGCTTCCTTCAGGCTTGTGTACCATGAGTTGGTGCTGACGACCAAGGAGTACATGCGGGAGGTGACCACCATCGACCCCCGCTGGCTGGTGGAGTTCGCCCCAGCGTTCTACAGAGTGGCCGACCCTCATCGCCTCAGCCGGCAGAAGAAGCAGCTGAAACTGGAGCCTCTGTACAACCGCTACGAGGAGCCCAACGACTGGAGAATCTCCCGCGCCTTCAGACGACGCTGAATACTTCCTGTGCCTCACATTATTATTTCATGTGGACAATCTGTGTAGTTAATACTACCTTTTCTTGGATTAGAATTTTATATTCATTCAGTAATGCTTTATTTAGCCTTGATATCCTTGTCTTAAATTGGTCAACACTTCCTGTATTACATTTTCTATTAGGGTGACATTAGGGTGATAAATGTTATTGTTAAGAAATTGCAATATTGATAATTGTTTTTCGTAATTGTAGATAAACACTGGATGCACTTTTAATTGCTTTTGCCTCTTAATTGAATTACTTATTCAAAGCAGTTTTGATGAATGGAATATACATTTTAAGAAATATACCTCTTTTTGTCTGTACAGTAAATATAATCTGCTGATTAGCTTAGCTTTGCTTAAAGATTAGAAACAGCTAGCCAAACACTAACAAAATCCAGTGAGCCTCTTGCCTTTATGATATGCTAAGCTAATTGGCTGCAAGCAATAGCTTCATGTTCTGCACAGACAGGTATACAAATGCTCACATAACTCTCAGTAGGTAAGCAAAGTAGGTATTTTGTCGTAACATTTTAAGAAGTTTAGTCATTATTACGATCAGTTTGTTTATGCTTTCCAAAATCCAGTCCTCACTTATAAGTAGGGTTAAAGGGGCTATCCAAGAACAAGTTGAAGTTAAACATTACCCACATTTGCCTCATAACATGAAGCAGCAGAAAAGACATGTACAAAAATTGCTTAGTCTTATGTCTAAAATATATTAAAAAAATAACATACAAAATATACAATACTAAGCGTAGTCTATCGAAAATATGCAAAAAATGTTCTATACTATGTTTTTTTGTTGCATACTTTCGACATACAATACTATTTATTATTTATTTTGGACATGTCGTTTTTTTAAATTTATTTTCGACATACTATATTTTTATTTTGGACATACGTCTTTTTTTGCATATATATTTTTTTATATTTTCGTCGTACTATGTCGTTTATTGCATATTTTCGACATACTACTATGCAGTTTTTGGAAATATTTGGACATACTGTGTTTTTTTGCATATTTTCGACATAGTATACGATGTCGTTTTTTTCAGAAAATGTTGACATTTTGTAATCATTTCGATATTTGTTCAACTATGTCGTTTTCTTTGCATATCTTCAACATATTATATGACGGCAAACAACATAATGTGGAAAATATGCGAAAGATTTATTGAACAACTGAAATTCAGCCATATGGACCTAGTATAGTCAAAATGTCAATAAATATGACAGTTTATAAAAAGAACACAAAAAACTGTAATATGGCGAAAAAATCATAGCAAAGTATTACAAAAATAACAATAAAATGTGTTTAAATTATTAGATAAAACAGCATAAGACAAAAATATCAGATATCACGAAATATTGCAGTATGTCGAATATATTAGAAAAAATGACATACGATAGCTTGTCGAAAATATTAACCCAAATCAGTATAGTATGTTGAAAATATCAGCAAAACCATAGTATAATAAGTCATGTGTTCTTAAAATATCAGCAAAAATGGTATATAGTTTTTCAAAGATATCAGAAAAAAAAAACCATAGCATGTCGGAAAATATTTTATAACCTAATTTTAAAGCTTTACCATTACATATTTCCCACATGATACTATGATTTTTTGTGACATTTTTATTACATACTATAGTTGACTTCTTAATAGCTTTTTAAAACATTTGGATGGCATACTATACGGCGATATTTGTATACAATTTGTATAACATACTATACCATAACTTTTATTTGATAGGTTTTTCTTTTATATACTATTCTATAAATGTTTATGACATTTTGACATGTTATGTTACTCATACCATAAGGCAGAAAAAAGAACCTGGACTGCAGTTTGGGTATTATTATGAGTATTTATTAAGCAATCTCTTCAACCACAGTCATGTTTATGGATTGAATAGGCATCAGATGTGAAAGGAATGCAGCTCTTAAAAACAAAATAAAACAAAAAATCCCTTATGAGATTAATTTAAAACAAAAACACCATAGCCTTATTATATACAAGTGGAAGGGGTGGGCATGTGCAAGAGGTGCATGGGGTTTCAGGATGTGTATGATGATGGGTTGATACAACAGGAAGATATCTGAAGGGGGGAGAAAGGAGGGAGGGTGGGGGCTGGCTGGCTTTAGTACATGTAGCCTTTGGAGTAGGGCTGGGGGCCCATGTTTTGGGGGGCTTGTTCTGTGGCGTAGGGCACTCCCTCGTCCAGGTGGGACAGGGGCACCGTGTCCTCCTCGTTGACGTAGCGCTCAAACTCGGCCTTCAGGCTGGGCCGCTGATTGTCGGGGAAGGCCAGGGAGATGAGGGCCTCGGGCTCACACACAAACTTGTAAACATAGCGCTCCCCTGCCACCTGGAGAAAGAGCAGGAACATGAGTACTTTAGGAATGCCTACGAAATAACACACTGGTGTACAAAAGTTTCCCTTGTCTATTTCAGTCACAAAAGGTGAAGGGGCTTATTTTTTTATGACATGTTATGGCATTTAGCACGTCACTTAAATGTCATAGGATTGGGTAATACATATTTATTGTATATATATTGTGAGTAAGGCATAAGTGTCTTTTCTTGGTTTTGATGACATCTTCTGAACTTGTTCTTACTGTTCTGTTATTCATTATTTAAATATATATTGTGATATGAGTTTCTTCATATATACATATATATATTTATATAACCTGGCCTAAAAGTACCACATTAAAATGTCCTCAAAAAAAGTTATAGTATAGTATGTAATGGCTTAAATGCCCTTTAAATGTGGTGATAAAAAACAAACAGCTTTAACATTTTCAACTCCATACTTGGGGGATAGTTGTAAAACCCCTTTGTGCCATGCTTAAGAAACTTCCACACCAGGCATATTTGCAAGTACGACAACAATAAATAATTCTCATTAATATTTAAGAACTAATCTATAAAGCATTAGTACATGATTAAACTGAATAAATCTTTATAAAGGGTGTGTTAGGAAGAGAAGGAAAGTGGTACCATACATTTGATAAAGGTGGACTATGAACACATAAGGAGGATACACCTCATCTAAAAATCTGTATTCATTTAAATTAAAAGATGGGAAATGGTTCTGTTTGTACCTTCTGCATGATTCCTTTCTCGTAGTAATAGCGCAGAGAGCGACTGAGCTTGTCGTAGTTCATGGCTGGACGGTTCTTCTGCATTCCCCACAGCCGGGCAACCTGAGGAAAGGTAGGAGGAAATGGATGTGGTTAAACTTCTGGCTAAGTTCAGCGTTGTGATGTCTACATGCTTTTGACAGACTTCAGAATAAAGCATTGCTCAAATGACACCTTTAAAGACAAGGAGTGTTTGTTTTAGTATTTTCCCCCTTGCATTTCCTATTACCTAGATACTAGTTACTGTATTTTATGCTTAAACCACTAGGGGTCCTCGGTGATAAGCTAGTGCCCTCTCTGCTAACTCAACAACATCAACATGCCAAGAGCAGGGCGAGTCCCCACATGTGGATTCACTTCCTTTTTATGTAACCCATTACCACTTGAATGCGACCAGAGTCCCACAGTGTTTGCAGTGAAATAAGAGTCAGGTCTGGTTGTCAGGCCATGAAATACACTCGCAGCCCAAAACTGAACTCTCAGCTGACGAGGGACCACTAAACTCTGATCAGAAATTAGTGTCTGACAACCCCACACAGGCAAGGGGCAGTAAATCACATCATTTCACAACAGTGTATGATCATCATGTTGACAAACATCTAAGATAGTGGAGTAAAGTGTAAAGCTGGGGGGGGGATTCATGACTCAGGTTGAATCCCACAGTGGCCATCCAGCCTGCAGCCCTGTTTGATCTCTGAGTGTGCTCTCAGCCTTAATTGCTCTTGTAAAACTCCAACCCCATTCATTTTTAATGTACAGTAAAAAGATAATGGAAAACACACTATAGACCTCTCCGTATTATGTCCCATCTAAATGGACGCCGGCTGAAACGTCCAATCAAATTGCAGACTTAAACATTGCCAAAAGAAATGGCTCGAGTAAGAAATGTGAGGAGGTGAGAGAGAACGGGGGTGTTGGATGATTCTGTGATAGAGCGCGTCCTACATTTATCAACGCAGAGTTTCATGTGTTGAATAATGAATGGGGGGCTAATGGAAGATGGATCAGAGAGTAGACCTGTGAGGAAAGCGGACAAATCTCACTTCTAAATCGCTCTAATCTAGGTAGCGCCTTAAAACCCTGCTAACATAAATTCATTCCGAGAATAACTCCTGTGCTGTCCGTATCAGATTTATATTAACGTTGTGATAACACTTCTCCTCTATCTGTGCAAAAGGCCGTCCCGTAAGAAGGACTAAAAATAGTGCTGATGCGTTTAAAAATTGTGAATTCAAACAATTAAGGTGATATCATTATTACAGTTATAATAGAAAGGGTTTGTAGGCTTATATAACCTAGAGATGCCCTTATACTGTTGGATGATACTGTGCACCAATATCATCATGTCTTGAAATAAACATACCTTTCATTTTTTAATTGATACGTGTCAAGCATCTTTGAAACCCTGACCTTAGTGCTTCAAATACTGTAGGCTACTATTAATGGCTGCTAGATGCTTGCTACAAATACAACTTGTACATTTAAGTGGGCCCTGTTATGCTCATTTTCGTTTTTAGGTTAATATATTGTGTGCCTCTACTGTGACATGTTTACATTCTTTAATGTTGTTTTATTTTTCTCATACTGCCTGTGCTGCAGCACCTCTTTTCACCCTCTGTCTGAAACCAGAGCCCAGTCTGCTCTGCTCTGGTTTGCTGGTTGGCTCTGTTGTGATTTGTCAACCGCTTAGAGATGTCCCGCTCCTTAGCCTATTACGTAGAATGAGCGCTAGCCAATAGCAGCGTGAGTGTAGCCAAAGACTATGTTACATAGTGAAGTCACTATGTTATGGAAGTTAACAAAGGTGTCGAGTCATCTGGAGGGAACTTTGGGATTTAAACCTTTGCAGAGCATTTACATGCACAAACACCTATAACACACTATAGGAGAGGGGAAACCCTTACAGAACAAACAAACATCTTATAGTTTAAGGAAACGGTTTGGACGTACCTCTTCGGGCTCAATGAGTTTGAACTCCATGCCGCGGCCGGTCCAGGCGATGAAGTTGGCGTTGCTCGGGTCGTCCAGCAGGGCCACCAGGAACTGCCAGAGCTGCAAGGAGCCTCGGCGCTGGTAGGGTGCGCCCTCGCGAAAAACACTGCCGCCCTCCTGCTTCACCTCAGCTGGAGCAAAGAGAAAGGAGATGAGGATTATGGGTGACGATCACACATGTTACAATGGGCTGAAATCTTTTGATGCAACCTTAACATGTTTGTAGCTTCAGCAAAGTTAATTTGATACATATTCTGCACTTTACCCTGCATCCGGCCGTTACGATTCAATCATTAAATGAGGGTTTGAGTGGTTCTTATATTACAACAAGGACATTTTGAACAGCTACTTTTAACTGTGAGGTCTTTGAATTCTAGTACATCATTAAGTCATCTTATCTTGATGTTTCATGTTTGCATACAGACATAAGCTGAATCAAACGCTTATAGCTTATCAAATTGAGCACTACAAGGGCAGCAGTGTGCTTAGCTGTGACTCACCGGGAGAACACACTGAAGGCAACACAAAGCACATAGATGTTTAAAAGCAAGAAAATGATGCATACTACCCGTGATAAGATGAGAACAAATGATCAACAACACTGGGTGAAGCTTTACGTAGGTAAATGGACACTGATTAGTTCTCTGTTGTTTACCAGTTACTTGATCTGTTTTACACAAGTACGGCAACTTGAGAAGCTCAGCTAAGTTACTGCTCTCAGAAAAGTTGCACACTTCACTGGTTCAACCAGTGCGGACACCCTCAGGCTCGCCACTCAATCTCCTTTAGCGTCAATCACCAACAACACCATGGGAAACTGCTTGTCTCTCTCCTGGGCGTGACAAAGGAGTGATACACCGTGTGTGCAGAGGAACCAAAAACACTAAATAAGTTGCTGACTACTCAGAGAACCTTTAACTCTTCCACAAGGATCCCTGACGTCGATATGAGATAGTCAGGTATATAGAGTTTCTCAACTGAAATCATCAAACCAACACCTCGCAGAGTGGATTGCAGCGTGCAAATGAAACAATGAGTGAATGCAGAGTTATGGATGCAGCAGGCTCACCTTCAAACTTCTCTGGAACCACGCGGGAGTCGTTCTCAAACAGATAGCCTGGGAGACAAAGAGAGAGTTGTGTTAGAGTATCTGGAGGCCTTGATCTAAGCGCAACTGGATTGTTGATTTTGGATACGTGCCAATCTTTGAATAACATCCCAACAAAATACAGGACTTCATTCACGCATGAATAGCCAATAAGTGTGTACTCACAAAAGTAGAAATGAGCAGTTCAGTAACAGGGAGAGGATTTCTCACTGGAATCTTTAAAGAAACTAGGATCTTTCCTCACATTTCCACGGCCAGTGAACTTATTGTTATATCTTTGGGCTTTTAGAATTCAGTTTAAATCTTTAACATGCTGAAAGCAATAGGTGAACAAAAATCAAAAGTTCCTAAAATGGTGCAACAAACAATGAGAATGAAGGAATATATTATTTTTTCTGGGGGAAAATGTTGCTTTTTCCAGCCGTTATGTTTATTCAGGGTTTCTTGAGGCAGGGGTGAGGCGAGGGCCTCCGCCAATGGAAACACAGAAACACCGCTGGTTAGCCAATGGAAACACCGACTCTCTACACTGGTTAGCCAATGGCCGCAGAGCTCTAACCAACACAGGCTCAATGTAGATAACGTATTGGAGAGGAGATTGGATACATTCAATTGAACTAGAGACCATTTTATGATGGGATTACACCATATGTGATGCCGAAACAGGGCAATAGCCCCTTTCCCCCTCTCTATCCCCCTGTATCCCGCCCCCTTGTTTAGACCACATCCATCTTAAAACTGGGGCTTCATGTCAAATACACATAGGTCAAATATGGTTGCACTGTTGTGACGTGTTGACAAAATCTGTCCAAAGACAAACACCGCTAACTCCACAGTCCATGAGGAGGCTGGTAAATATTGATGTAATTTAGATTACCTTTGCCGAAAAACAACTATAATTCAATTTCTGGTGGAGAAAAATAAACTGTATGAAACAATATTTTACGTTCTAGTTGAATCTAAAGTGAGATTACCTTCATTGCTGTGCTGGGGGGTGGGGTAGCCCTCAGTGTGGTGGTACATAGAGGGACATCCAGGCACATCTGTAACAGAAACACAAAAAGCTTGAGTTCATCTCATCAACCATTGGATCCATGTTTACATTCTCTGTATAACCTCTGTCTAAATGATCCCAGAAACAATAAATTAGATTAGATTGTATCGATCTTCAATTCAATTGTTAGAGTGGAAATGTGATACAATGGGTTAATTGTTGAAGAATAACCACATCAGGTTAATCTTTTTTTGAGTAAATGAAAACCCCCCTTGCTAAGCTAAGTATGCATATTATATGGATATTGTGTGTGATCACTCCGAGCATTGCAAGGACGAACGCTGCATTTATCATATCACTTCTCTTGTCTGCTGGTATTTTTAGGCCATGAGCAAGCACCTTCAACAGACAGAAAAGTGGGACAGTATACAGTGTCTGCACTTTATCTGGGTACTATTGACTGACACCAAAATAGATTTTACATTCCTCCTTAAAGCAAAACCCAGTGCAAGTTGGAACACATATTTATGTTACAAAGAGTCTAAGACAAGCTTAGTGCTTCCTATCGTGACTGCTCTGCTAACCTTGTTTGTCTGTCTTTTTGGCTTTAAAAAATAAAGGTGCAACACTTATTATTATATGTGTTTGTCTGTTTTTATGCGGTCTGTCAACTGTTTAAACGAGACGGGCATAAAGAGTGAAAAGGTGCAGCTTTGCCTCTGGCTCCGGCCGTGACTCACTCCTGGGGAATGCAGCTGCAGCGCTGTGACCGTGATAAGATGCCACTGGGGAAAATCAAACCCTCCATTCTGGGGAAGCAGCACTCCATCATACTGTAAATAATATGCCTGCCAGGGCTCCACCAGGGAGTGATCCGTGGATTGGGTGTGAGAGCGGCGGGGTTAATAGTGCACTGAGTGGCATGATCATGTTGTGTCTTTCATTCGACACAATAGCAGTGATTAAGCCATGGAATACCAATTTGTCTGTGAAACTAAACTGGTCTCATTCACAAGCCTGCTTTTAAAATATCACTGTGACTTTGTGGCCTTTTGTTTTCATTGTTCCCATAAAAATACAAATAAAATGTTGTTATTTTAACTCGTCATCTACGTCAATACACTTCTTTTGTATGCTCCAGTGCTGTTTCTCCATTATAAACCCATGCGTTTACAGTTTCATCAACGTATAAATGGCACAACAAATCAGCAGAAAATAAACAATAATCATTAAAAACCAATATGGCAATTTGTCTCAATGAACCGTATTAATGTTTCGTTTAGAGGATGCACGCATTCAAAAGCTCTTACACACATATCATCCAATTAACTGCCCGAGAAAGGCCATACTTTCTACTGTCTGCAAATTAGATTTACATTACTCCATTTTAACGGTGGAGGATTAAGATTTCCTGTTCATGCTAATGTTCGTAATTGGTCTTTTTAAAGACTACCTGGAATCCCATGACTAACCCCTTTTAACAAATTCATCATTTTATTTAAGCATTCTACTTACACACACATTATTCTTACAATGAGAGATCTAGAGGTAACCGTTAAGAAAGGATGGACGTTTTTTTGGCATGTTCCAGACCGATGAATTCGACAACATTATGTCACGCAAAGTGTGGTGTGTTGTATAACTGTCTACGAATGGGTGATAAACTCTGATCCTGAGCGTCTGGTCGGCCTCTGCAGAGGCTTAAACTCATATCAGAGACACTGCTACGGAAACCCCACCAAATGTAGCTTTCTCCTCCCAGTAGTTATCTACAGAAAAACATCCTTTTGTACTCTATTAATCTTTCTTTCTGAAGGTCGTGCTATTCCTTGTCAGAGCTATCCGGTCTCCCTATCAAAAGGTGTGAGTGTAAAAACACAGAGTGGGAAGAATTAGGTTGCTTTTCGAGCATACTATGATGGTTTCAGCGCTGATGCTTTGTAGCCATCCAGTAATGTGCATGTGGGACCTGTGGGACTCTCAACAAAAGCTTGTTCTGCTCTAAGTCCTATAGCAGCTTTAATACAAGTGAATGAGGACGCAATGTAAACTGAGAGTTCTGTTTCTCTCTTCTTGTTGTTTCAGATTCAGAGAGGCAAGCAGAGGAGCTGGTTTCTGTGCTCTCAAGTGGCAGGGCCTGTTTTTAAAGCGTCCACGCTGGCTGGCTACCCCCCTGCCCCCACCCCCCCCGTCGTGAGCCTGGGGACGTACGGGTGGACGTCGCTCGAAATTCGTCCTTATGTACCTGGCGCAACATACTCTCCCCCGGCGCTAGTGTACCGTCCGACCCGTGCCCCCGCCGGCCCTGTGCGTGGGGTGGGTGTAGTGTGTTGTAGGTGTGAGCGGTTTGGTGTGGTTTGTGTGTCCAAGGGTGGTCGGGTGTACTTACCAATTCGTCCTCGGGTGGTCTGATGTGGATGCTTGTACCACTCACTATGTTTGAGTGATATCAAACCAAATTTTTACTATTACCTTTATCCTCACGTGGAGTATTTCATCCCCTTTACAAATGTACAAGATCAAGATTAGTTGTCTTGACGGACACTCTTATTAAATCATAAAAGTACCTATAAAAATATCTTAGTTATTAATCAGGCCTTACGTTTTAAGGAAAATAACAGGGTGCGGTTTACCTTTCACTTACAAGGTTCATGAAGGTCGAATTATCTAACAGTTAACAGAAAAACCTTGCGCTAACTACGTATAGATAAAAGGTAAACGTATAAAACTTTGTCGTAAACCGTTTGATTTTCCACGAATAAGACAGGAGACGAAGGTATGTTCTTCCACGAACCAACTTCTTATTCTTAGTTAGTCAGTATTTGGATTTCCGGCAATCCAGAATCTTGTCTGGTCGTTTAAGAGTGTAAAATCAAACGAAAACCTTCAACAATAACTAATTTACACGTCTTGTCAATGAGTAATTGCGGTGTTAAGTAATAGACAGCTAGGCTAGTTTAAGGTACACTACTTGATTTCCAATGATCTTCCACAACGACTTTTCAGTTAGGAGCACGTTGTTACTCGAGAACTAACACAACTCCCTCTTAGTTTGTTATGCCTTACTAGCAAATCTAGAGTAAACACAAGTAGTCTAGTGTACATTCTCCAATACACAGTCAGTTTGTCTTGGACTGAGTGTTAACTCTAATAATATTCCTATTAAACCGTAATGTTACACGAAAGGTTTTTCTACAAAGGCATTCTGGTTGGAAGGTGGACCACACGTTTCGATTGACTTCTTGGTTTTTTACAGGTTTTCCGCTTTGTCTGTGGAGGAAGTGACATAGGATCTGAGGGTGGGCCTGAGGGAGGGACGGAGTTTTTCGAGACGGAAAGTTGAGAAGACTGTGAAACGTTTCTTTTTCTTTTTTTTTTTCATACAAAAAAAGACGACGTCGATGTGAGGAGGGAGGAAGGAATGGGAGAGGAGGGAGGCGAGGGAGGGGGGTCGCGAGAGACACTCTCTCCGTCTCCTTTAAAGTAACTCTTTTACCTCCCGTTGACCTTTCTGATCTCAGGGGGCCACCCTCACGAGTCCCAGAAGTCCAACGTGGTCACCGAAGGGAAAAAAGACGTCCCGTCTACCTGAGTATTACCTTTTGTATCGGCACTCGCGCGTCATTTGGGCTCGGAGAGTGCACCGACCCGAAACCCTCGCCCNTTATCGTGTGTTGCTTTGGTTTATGTAGTCTTAGATTTTCTTTTTTTAAACCTCATCCTTTTGAGTAAGGTCTTCTTTTTGTTTATATTTGGGTAGGAAGGGGCCCGTGCTTGTTAGGGCTGCTCGATTATGGCAAAAATCATAATCTCGATTGTTGGGTCAATAATTGATATCATGAATTATTAAAAACGATTATCCATTTATTTGAAAAACATCAATTTATTGAAAAAATGTGAACAGTATGTTTTTAACAGTTGATTACCCTGAACTTTAAATATAATCTGTTTATTTCGATTAATATTAAAGGTGTCACGTTGGAATCTGGGAAATTATGAACGCCATTTCCCTTAAAACTTGTACAGACTGAAGAAATATGAATTGAAGAAATAATCTGCCAATGAAGCAATATTTGACCAGTGGCGTTTTCTCCTGGAGGCCAAGGGAAGCCAGGCTTCCCCTGTTTTTTCGGATTGTAGTTATAATTTTAATAAATAAATGAAAACACTTAGTTTAGTTTCGGAAATTCTTTGTTGTGTGTTGCTGCCGGCCCGTCTCTCCCCCATTCTCATTGAGTATTTTACAAAGAGTGAAACAGCGCCCCTCTAGATGTTATGGTGAAACAGTAGATTGCACCCTCTGTTGCGAGAGGAGGCCAGCCGAAATTGCTTCCCTTGGTGAAAAAAAATGGAGGGATTGACCAATCAGATGAGGCTCACGTCATGCCCCTGCCAACCTGTGATTGGTCAGGGCCATGCCAAGGGAAGCCAGAGGCGGCTGGCTTCCCTTGCCTCACAATCCAATCAAATCGCATCAACTTAGTGGTGCAGTGACGCGTCCCAAAAAGCGGAAGTAAGCTGCGCTCGGTTTCCCTCGACAAAATAGCAATGGGATTTTTCTCCATAGGATTTTGGAAAATAGCTCGAAAAAAGGTCAATGGAAAACGAACCTGTTAGGTAAATGCACGTTTTGTTCAGTCGGATAATATCCACATGTCTACCCTACTTTTATAATTTTCGAATCATAAATCTAATCGATAGAAGATAGATAGCGTCACTGCAGCACTCTCACCGCCGTTAGAAAGTAGCAAGCAACGGAAGCAAGTGCAATTATGGAGGGTGGAGATTTGGAGTATCTAATCAAAAATAATTGTACTAAACTTCCGCTGCAGCAGCAACAACAAATACAATCTGATGACAGGCCAATGCCCAAACTGGAGCTGTGTACAGCGCGGAACAAAGGAGCGAACCGGACGTAAAACGTTAAAGGTCTCCTGATTTAGTTTGTGAATGAATGCTTATTAGAGTTTCGGCTGGAGAGTGCGTGCGGACCTGTCGGTCAGATAACAGGCGTGTGTAAATCCTGCATCTGTATGATACAAATGTGTGTAAAATGATACCGGGCGCTGTAATCACTCATCTGGTTACGTTATTACATTGACCACCACACCCCCACCCCCAGATGGTATTTTAAACTTGATGCGCTCTGAAACTACGGGGCGGCCGAGGACAAAAAATACACATGCGTTAATCGCATTAAAATAATTAGTGGCGTTAATTTTTTTTTGCGTTAACTTGACAGCCCTAAAAAAAATACATCATCCCTGCACCACTCCAATGTGAAGGTGTATCCTTTCACAGATCTGCTTATCTGTCACTATTGTGTTTCCACAGGCTACGTCCAGGCCTCCAAACGGGATAAAAAGTTTGCCACCTGCCCTCCTAACTTCTCCTACGCTTCACTGTGCGAGTGTCTCCGCCGAGCATTCATCTACAGACAGCCGTCGCCGGTGGAAACCGTCCTCTTTAACAGGAAGCAGGGCCGGCAAGTAGGACAGGTTGCCAAGCAACAGGTGGCCAGCCTGGACTCCGATAAGCCAATCCTGGGCTTCAGAGCAACCAATGAGAGACTGTACATCCTGACCTCCAGTAACCTGTTTATACTAAAGGTCAATAATAATTAGATTTGTTTTAGATCTTCATCTCACCTCCCCCTCGGAGCGTGATCATTCCAAACTTAAGATGTTTTATCTGAACTTCCTTATGTGTTAATGTGTACTCTCTGTTCTCAATGTTGGTTTACTCATGTTTCAACTCTCACTAGTCTTCTGTGCTGCAAAATGTCTTTAAGATCAAGGAGCCATGTCATGTTTACTAGAGCTGATTGTTTCCAGGATAATCATTAAGAAAATGTATGTAAAAGGTTAAATAATCACCTCAATTGAATGCTTTATTACGCTTTGGTCAAATGTCATACACGTGATAACTTTGAATGCTCTCTGCATTATTACATACATCTGTAATGCCATGAATTCCGGTTCATAAATATAAATGTGTGCATCACTCTTAATGACAGTTTTTTTCTGAAGGCTTGCAGTTTTGCACCAAGGGATGGTCGTAGTCATTTGTCCGATGGTCCGTGGGGAGGTGGACACTGAGGACATCCCTCTGCTTGGCTCATTGTACAGCCTTTACTGTGAAAGAAGAATGAAAGAAGCCAACATTGATTTCCATACATTCCTATTAACATGTTTCACTCATATCACAGGCTCCTGCTGCATTAGCCTCAATCTTGGACGGATCATATCTGAAGCCTAACATCTCAGGAGGTCTAAAAATGCAATCATGGCTTTTTAGGAGTTGAAGGTTGAAATGGAAATCATACATCCTTGGAGTATGTTTATAAATGCATCTGATGCATTGCTCCTCTGGGATACTACAATACATGTGGCCTTTAGAAACCAGAAACGGTTCATACAGAAAAGTTCAGGTTTTCAACTTTTGTACTTCTACTCAGCATCATTAGCTACATTGTCACATCTTAAAGATCCATCTAGTAAACAAAAATGCCTGTCTTGAGCCAACTCGTCCAAATCGTCCAAATAGATACAAAAAGATTCAAGAGAGACACTAATGGACTTTATGTTAAAAGTGAAATATGGTCCCTATTCTCTTTAATAGTAAAACAAGAAAAGGTTAGAGGGACACAATCAGGGGAGATACAGGGATGAAGGTCTTCTTAGGATTATACCTGAAAAAGGCTTCAACACAACAAAGCCTTCGGCTCCTGTGAGAAATAGATCCATATCAGTGACTTTTCATGGTAGGCTGGAGGCAATAATAAACTGAATTCAGACAGCCTTTTAAAACATTTGGATCTTCAGAAATGATAGATAGGACAACTGCTCTAACAAATGTATTGATCAGGTTTGAAATGGCCTGTTGTTGTGTGAACTGAATCAACAAAGGAACATTGTTGTCTCAGTCGAAAGCAGTTCAGCTTCACCATTCAATAGTCTTCATCAGGACGGGCAATTTTCTGAAGACTATGTGCAATTTGTGTCCTCAGTTCCCCCGAGTGCTGCCAGTTTACAAGGCGGTTTGTTTTCCTCAGCTAAGCCACTCTGAAGGCTGTGGATAATGACCCTTTTCTCTCTTCTCCGTCAATGTTGTTCTCAAGAAAATCCGCTTTTGCTCTTTTTATTTCATTACTGCTGTGCAATTGAGTTAGACTCCACCGCTTGTTTTCATTAGCTGTACAGAGCATCCCTAGAATACTTGAAGGCGGCCTGTCAGAACCGCTAAATGTCTCCGCGGATGGCCTCTGTCTTTAATCAAAAATCGTTTTATCAAGCTGTGGGACCACAGAGAATTGAGTAATGGAAGCTAGTTACGCTCGCTCCTGTGTTTCCCTAACCCTTCACCTCGCTGCCATCACAACATCCCTTCACAAAGTGGGCTCTTTGAGGACTTTATTAAACAAGTGTTTTTCAAGATTGACAGCCGTTCTTTTCTTTCCCTCAATGTAATCAGCCCCTCCTAGTGAGTTTCATTGGCTTCAGGGTCAGGGAAATTTGATCCGGATCGTGATTGAAATCATTTTTCCTGAGAGAGCAACGACTCTGGGACCTTTTTCTATTTCACCACCAGTGTTTGTATTCTCAGGCATGCCATGTCTTACATTCAAGGTTGGACCCACTAACGCGGTCAATTAAAATGTCTTAAAAGATCCTGAGCGTTAAGTTGTAGACGCAAAAAAGATTCACCTGCGCTACGGGCTGTCTGTAAAGACACAGGCCAATCCTCGACCCACATTAAGGCCGTTACGAATGCTGACTGCAGCCCAATAACCATAAGAAGTTATCTGCAAGAGAAGGGCTTAAAGAATAAAACATTTATTCGAAAAATAACTGGACTTTGCAAGGGACATACATGGGACATTGAAAGGGGGGAAGAATGTTTTTCACCTTTTCAATGAGTCATGATATAACCTGGATGGTCCTGATGGCTTCCAACGTTACTGGCATGACAAGGAGATCCCACTGGAACTGTTTTCTACGCGGTACAGTGGAGGAGGCTCCATCATGATCTGGGGTTCTTTTCCTTCAATGGCACAGTGGAGCTTCAGGTTGTGCATGGGCGTCAAACGGCAGCTGGTTGTGTGGAGATGTTGCAGGGGGCGTCCCTCTTGCCTGAGGGCCTCATCAGTGCGGTGATGACTGGGTCTTTCAACAGGACAACGCTACAGTCGCACTTTTGGACCATCTTGCGTGTTCCCCTGATCTAAATCACATTGAGAATGTTTGGGGATTTATGGCAAGGAAAGTTTACAAAAACGGACGTCAGTTCCTGTCCGTGGATGCCCTTCTTGAAGCCATCCTCACCACATGGAGCAACGTTCCCACCAGCCTCATGGAAACACTTGCATCAAGCATGCCTAAACGATTTTTTGATGTTATCAACAAAAACCACACTTTAAGTTCTGTTTTTTTGTCTATGGTCTTAAACTTTTGATAGACTGATGAACAGCCTGTTTGAGTTTAAATGCAGTTTTCAATAAATTGCCTACCCTCTATTTTGCTCTCTTGCTCCTGTTTCTTCTTTTGGCATTTTGAAGCTCTATTTACAACCTGGTCGCGATCCACCATTGCAAAATGGGAATTCTTGTCATTTTTTCCCTAGGTCTTAAGATTTTGTTCAGGATGAATATTCCGGCTAACACTAGAAGCCTGGCTAACGTATGATCCAAACCAAGAACCAACCCGAAACTTGTATCTAAGTACAATTTTAAAGGCAGAGTAAACACTCAGGATTAATAAGATGAAAGGCTTTTTTACTTACCGATGTATGTAGAATTTCCTTTTTTTTTAATCACTCTCCCTCTCTCTTTTCCTCCTTGTGTCCGCTGTCAGTGGGGCTATTTTGGCGGCAACTGTTAACATTTACTCAAGTTGTTCCGATTTGTAGGGCTTTTATTGTGAAAGGGAGATAGCAACCTGGAGGCCGATCGAACGGCATTGTGAAGCAAGGCTTATCGGTAACCAATCCTAACACTGATGGTGACATTCAGTGTGAAATCAATATTTACTTCATTATGAACACTTGCAGAGGGTAAAGTAAAGTAAATACATGAAATATGTTGATATGGATTATTATTGTTAAAGTAACCGTCTTTAATTTATTTAGTGGGAATGCTGATACAGCATTCCAACTATCTGTTATGCTACGCACAAAATTCTTTGTTATTCCGCCGGGTTATTTTGCGCCTCTTCTTCTCCTACATAGAACATCGCAGAAACTCCGTTCAAACATCAAAACATTCAGCTCGCTCGGGAATCGATGGCTATTACTTTTATCATTCATAACTTTCATAATTCCGGAGGTACATCCCATAATTCATCACATTTTTAACATGGAAGTCAATGGAGAAACTCTTCAGACTTCAACAATCTTCATGCAACTTCAACTGCTATCTGCTCCTTCATACTTTCATTCAGAAACCTCATTCAAACTTTAAAATGGTACACATCTATCTGGCATTATTCGTGTAACACAACTTTTAAATCTGATTCTTACTTTTAGAGGTATTAAACATTGTTCAGACCTGGGTAAAGAGGCCTTCTTCAGATTTTAGAGTGTGTGATGTCACAGCTAGAGTGGAGGACAGATTTAATTTTGCCTTCATATTTTCTTTTAAACCTGCCATAATCCCCAAACCCTACATTCCTGAGACATAATTTTTCATGAGAAACGTAGGAAAACATCTCGTAGCTTGAAAAATAAAAAAAATTAAGCAAAATAATTTTATTAAATGCCTCTTGAGGGTTCAGCCTCATCGTTCCCCACCACAGCAGCCGCACACGTTTAGTTAATCTGCCAAAAAGGCCATATTATTAACCCGAAAGTACACAAAAAGTACACTTCAGATGCTCAAGTTCCTTGACATGCTTAACGCTTTGAAATTTTACCGAAATCTGTTACGGTTCTTCAACAAAACGTTCACATGTAAGAGGTTTATCTCATTCAGAACAATGAAAATGCTCTCCTCTCACCATGGAAACCTTTGATCTCTGGACACATCGTTAGCTCAAATATAAACACCTGTGTCATGGAATGCGATGATGTCATAACTCCAACTGACATGCTCAGAGCAGCAGACTTCAGATAATGGTTAACACAGCTCTACGTCAATTATGGGGTGTCATCATATGCCGTTTCCAGGGAAACGCATCCCTCGCCATAAAACAAGATGTCGCTATAACTCCAATGGACACGGTTCGATCGTCTCCCAAACTTCGCTTCGATATCACCGGTCCATGCCTCAACAGCTCTACGCCAAATCTGAGATCTCACAATAGGCTGTTACCATGGAAACGCATCCCTCACCATAAAACACGATGTCACTGTAACTCCAACGGACACGGTCCTGACGTCCCACAATCTTCTCCTGTATATCACCTCTCCATGCCCCAACAGCTCTATGTCAAATCTGACATCTCACCATATGCCGTTTCCATGGAATCCCTCGCCATAGAACACGATGTTGTCGTAACGTCTATGAAAAGGGTCAAAACAGCACCAGACTTCAGATAATGGTTAATGGACCAGCTTTCAACATGTCTATGTGCCATTAGTGAGTTTTCCTCAAAAGCTGTTGCCATGGCAACGCATCCCTTGCCGTAAAACATGATATTGCTATAATTCCTATGAAAATGGTCAAAAAGTGCTCAAACTTCACATGTGTGCTAATAGTCCAGCCGTGAAGACATCTATTTGACAGTTTTTAAGATTTTTTTCAAATGCCGTTGCCTTGGCAACACAACTGCTCACTATGAAACACGGTTTTCTCACAACTTCAGTTTCGAAATGGCCCACAACTTCACAGGTTTGGTAACAATGCAGCCATCAACACATCTCAGCGTATTATGGGGTGTCATCAAATGCCGTTGCCAATGGCAACAGATCATTCGTCATCAAGTTAGTTCAAAAGTTTGCAGTTCAAAGATTCTGCTGATTTTCCAAGCCTTTTTACTTTATTTTCTTCTCTCATCACACATTCAAGCCCCCAGTGTTCATGTATCATTTCAATCTAAATTATTCACTCTCTTCTTACACATTACATTTCAGCATAGCAATTCAGCGTCAGCTTTTCACAATAAAGCATTCCCACTAGCAATTTCTTCAGGAATTGCATTCTCTAGAGAATGCAATTCCTGAAGAAATTGCTAGTGGGAATGCTTTATTGTGAAAAGCTGACGCTGAATTGCTATGCTGAAATGTAATGTGTAAGAAGAGAGTGAANGTGTGCCTTGGCAGTCTCAGATAAAAAAATGTCATCTGTGGAAGCTGTGGTACTGTAAAAAGCACGACCAATCATCTGAGCCGGCCCGGCTAAAGTAACTGGATGGCCTACCTGCCTGTCAGCCTTCCATCTGTGCACTAACTTATCTGGTGCCCTCATTGGTCATGTGCGCGTTCGTGTGTGTTGGAGGAGGGGGTCTGTAAGGAAGTGGCAGATTTTTTCCGGCTGTGTATTTTCAAATTCTAGCGCACTCGAGCTGGTTTCTCCAAAATTACATACCCCACCTTTGAATTAATCAATTATTTAATACAATCTAGATTTTTGAGAAACAGGAATCATCTGACTGTTTTCATCATCAGGTACATTTTTTTTACAATTTGTTGATTGGCTAATCAAGTCAGCACTAAAATGGAACCCTTTTAAAATCTTGTCTTTTTTTCTAGTAATAAAACTATTTTACACAGCTATATTTTGAGAGTTGAGGGAACATCCTGAGCGTGACAGCAGATACTCGAGGCGGCTGTGGTTTATGTCACCTTAATCTCTTCTCACTTCTTGTATACTCTATTTTTTCCTCCTTCGCTTTTTCACTTTCTATCTCTTGCCCTGGTGGAGCGGTCATCTCTGGTCCTATTCAGGCTGCCAGACATTTTTTTTATCCTTCTTTTTTGTGAATGAACGGCAGTATGTAATTAGCTTGGTCGAGCTTTCAGTGTGGCCTGCTCCGTCAGCTCCACACCCTCTACACACACACACGCGCACACACACACACACACACACACACTGCTCTAACATTTAAGCACACACATTCCAAAGCACGCACATAGAAACAGACAAGCCGAGATTACCCACACACACACGTACGCACGCTCACACAGATGCACACACATAAATACAGGCCTCCCCAGCTGGAAGTGCACAGCTGCTGCTGTTTACCCTGTCGGGACCAGAAAAACATCCTGTACAGTTCTCCGGGTGAAAACCTCCCCTCACATAATAAACACAAGCCCTCGGCACAGTTTGAAGCTCCACTTTGGGTGGTTTTCGTGGCCATCAAGGCAAAGGTCCCCTCCAGCAGACCAGATGATGGACAGCTCTGTGAGGCTTAGATTGAATCCTTCAGCGGGGAAATGAAATAGCTAAAATCGTATTTAATATGTTGAACTTTCAGGGTATACGTGGCATTATCCAGTTATACCATCTTTACTCAAAGGCAGAATTTAAAGATCGCAGGTGATGGCTAACATCTGGATACCCATAGGAAAGAATGCAGAGAACATAATCTGTGTATATGCTGTTCTAACAGAGGTGTGACATTTTCTTTCATCAGTCCACAGACATCTCTCTGGCCCATACAGTTGTTTAGCTTTAAGCTTGACTTTGACAGAGGAAGTTTTGGCTGCTGTTGTGTCTGGAAGAGTGGAGAAAAGTAGGCGAGGACACTTTGGGCTCCAAATGACTGCTGGAATGCGGTTGTGTGTGTGCCTGTGTGTTTTTGCGCGCCTGAACTCCTCAGTGTGTATTCAAAGTGTGTGCTTATAAATATGTGTCTGTCTGCTGCCCTGTGTTTTGCTGCTGACAGTCACTTAAGCATTTTGGCTGGCACGTAAAAGAGATTCCTGTGCAGACAGAAGTATTTGCTTTTGTATTAAAGCTTAACAACCGTAGTATCGAGGCTGGGCTGAATGAGAGAAGATAATACAAAAGCCCGCTCTGTGTGTGTGTGTGTGTGTGTGTGTGTGTGTGTGTGTGTGTGTGTGTGTGTGTGTGTGTGTGTGTGTGTGTGTGTGTGTGTGTGTGTGAACCCTCATCACTGTTTTCTGTTTACTGCCTCTTGCAGCAGTGGCATTTCACAGCCCTCCCGTCACTATCAAGAAGGAGCCGCAGAGCCCGGGCTCCGACCCCAGCCAGTCCTGCAGCCACAAGCAGAGCTTCAGCTACCCCAGTGGAGAGCAGTGCCTTTATGCCAGGTACATAGAAGGCTACAATAAATGTTGCTTGTAGAATGTTAAACATAAAACTGCTATGTTTCACTGGGCCAATGCACCCAAATCACAAAACAAAATATACATTTTCATACTAGGGATGCCTCATATGGATTGTTTTTTTTAGTCAAAGCAGATAATTGTTTGTCATGGCCGATGCAATAAGATAATCAATAATTTCACAATGTTTTAAATAACTACAGTACCTATTCAAATGTTCTTTTTTTCTGGTATTAAGTATTTCAAAAGAACTTGCATTGCTAAAATGTTGTCTTGTCTTCCTCTAAAACTGTAAAGCCAATCATTTATCGGTTTTATAAGTACATCATAATAATAATAATATATGTTCCATTATGGGCTTATCAGTTATTAGCCTGGTATTTATTGTGCATCCCTATTTAATACTTGTGTATATCTAAAAACAATCGTATGTAGGGAAAAAACTGAGCATTTATATTTTTCTTCGCATACCGTCTTTGTTTCAGTTGTTTCTTATCCATCTCTCAGTTTTGGTTTCTAGATAAGAGCAATAAAGAGGTCTGTCATTTCCTCCTCCTGTTTCATGTCTCTACCAGGCTTCCTTGAAACCTATTTATCAGCTCTTATTTGAAACATCTTTCAAAATGTTTATGGCACTGAGATTATTATCTCTCTGGAAAGAGCAGAACAATTGAAACAATAATTACTTTATTTTACCATTCTGTCCAATGGCCCAGCACTGGTCAGCTGTCATGCATAAGTCAGCACAGCTAAAACACTTACCACATGTTATTGACTACCAAAGAACTCCCATTAGCTCTGTCTGCTGTATTGACCCCTCCCCAGTATGACCCTGCTTTAACATGTACATATATGCGTGTACTCATGAGTGTGTTGATGTTTTTCAGTGCCTATGATCAGAAAAGGGCTGCAGGAGGAGCGAAGAGCTCCTGCCCAGGGACCCCCATGTCCCCTATGCAGCAGCATTACTCCCCGAAACCTGCCACGGCCGGACGGCCCGATGCTGGCTACATGAACCCTGCTGCAGCCTCCCAGCCACTGCCTAGCAACAGTTACCCCATCAACGCCAGGTGACACACCCCATAAGTCTCTGCAGTATCTGTGATTGACATTTGGTCACGTGCAATATATTTTACAATTGATTATTGAAAGAAATCATTGCAAGGCGAAGGGTATTTTCTATGGATGATAGTTCAACCCTGGAGAAAAACCCAGTCAATTCAATTCAATAGCATGACCATAATTACATACAGTATTGCTAAAGCTCTGTATAGTTGTAACGTCCATACACAAATACATATTTAAAACAAACTGCTACATTCTGAACAGAAGTCCATATGTAGATGTTTTTTTTTGTCTACACGCAAACTGCTTTTTAGGTCACTGTAATCCAAGCTTTTGTAAAACTAGACTATAAACCCAAGTAAAGCCTTATGGTGAAGATCTGTTAGAGCTGTTAAAACAAGTCTAGTATTCTGCATTGTTGCGTGTTGGTAATTAAATGTGCATTTTTCTTTAATGGGCTCCTCTGCTGTGTCTGATTTCTCAGCTCCAGATATCAGGGCCCTTCAGGAGACCCCATGTGCCCCCAGTTCCCACCACAATCCAGCCAGGCCTTTCAGCGCATGCCATCTGCCCCGGCAGGACACAGTGGAGCCGGTGGAGGCGGGGCTGGAGGGCCAGGTGGAGGCGGAGGTGGAGGTTATCATCGGCAGCACTCGGACCCCTGCATGCCCTACCTGCAGCAGAGCTTTAAGCAGGAATACATGGACCCGTTGTATGAGAGGGCCGCTCACATGGCAGGGCCTGGGCACGGGGGCGGACCGGGACACGCACCCCACCCACATCACCAACAACATCCACACTCGCACCCCCACCCACACAGGTTCCCACCAGCCCACATGATGGTTAAGCAGGAGCCCACAGACTACACCTACGAACCTGGTGAGTGATACAAACTCACTATAGTTTGGTTTAAAATGATAATGAAATAGGAGTGCACTCATAAAGTAGGGGAAATGTTTAATGTTCTAATCAACAGAACTGCCTGTGAGAATAATTTGTATTTTCATGGATATTTTATAGAATCAATAATTAGTCGGAATGCAAAATTACCTTTTATTGTCCACCTGCCAAATGGAAAGTGAATGTTCAAGTACTTCCAGCCTTAATAGATTGTCAATGTCTTTTTGGCACGCGATTGATGCATATCTATTTTCCATTTGCATATTTGACCAGCATTTGGCAAACTAAAAGGTGCTTATTCTGTCCTCTGCTTCCATACAAGAAGGTGACTGGTTGAAGAATAAGAATCAATCAGTCATAAACCTAAAGGCGTTAGTTTAGAACAGAACCAGCAAATTCTCACATTTTAGTTGCTTTTGGCAGTTGTTATTGATTAAATGTGCAGAACAGTTACTCATTAAGCCACAATTCATTATCTGTCGATCGATCAAATCCATGTGATGAACTAAGGTTACTGAAGGTGTTGCTGAAAAGTCATCCTCGTGGCAAACAATGAGTTTTGAATTGTGTTGAGGAGAATCAAACAATACGGAATGATCAGTTTAGATCTCATTTGTGTTCATCAGATCACATGTAAGAGGTTATGTGTCAGTCAACAGAAACCTGACTCACAATTGAGATTATTTATAAGGATAATTTGGCATTACAATGTGCTTTCCAAAAAATGTTCCTTCTAAGACCAACCTTCCCCTGTGTGCAAAGCTAACTGAAGAACAAAATGTCCAAAAGGCAAACAAACTTCTTCACTGTATCTAGACTCCCACCCGACTCCCTCCCTGCCTCCAAAGCTCCTCCTTTCAACTCTCTGACACTTTGCAAAGAAAAAGAAAAAAAAGTATGTTTTTTCTGCTGCAGCTACACTCCTCCCTCCTTCCTTACCCTCTCCCTCCCTCCCTCCCTCCCCCCAGCGCTCTCTGTGAGAGAGGCAGAGGAATTTCATTGAGAAAATGGAGGGCACTGGAAAGACTAGAGTCCCTGGTGGAGTGCTCCAGGGTCTCAGGTTGCACCAGTGGCTTCCTTTTTCTGCAGGCAGATGAACTCATAATGGAAAAATGAGCGTGGCCGCAGTAACCCTTGCTTGGGTTGTTTACATCGACGAGGAGGTCATAATAGATCGGTGCTTTTTGTAGGAAGAACATCGAGATAAATAGAGACAAGAAAGACTTCCAAGCACGACTAAGGAACGTCTCGATAGGCCAGGGATAGTTTTCCACACTCACATTTTTGTGTCTCACCCTTCTTATTCCAACGAAAAAGCTCGTATGATACTACCGAAAAGTCGCGACCTACGAAACACGTAGGTCAAGTCATACACGTACAACCCTGACACCCGTGAGAGTTGTTTTCGAACAACGACGAGAATTCAGGATTATCCGTTCGAAAATTATGTTCACCTACTCCTGCGTTACATTGGCTCTCAAAGACAAAAGAGAGAAGAACAACAAAAGTCTAAGTCTCTCCGTTCGTCTCCTTCGACCAAAGACACGAGAAGTTGCAACGTTCCCGGACAAAAAATTTCGCAGGTGCGACCGACCGATGGGGGACCGGGGTGGGGGGCGGGGATGGGGAGTGGGCGAAGGGTTTTCAGGGTCGGT